AACTTTTATCGTAAAATTTTATCGCTTATTACATCTAAAAATTATGATTTGAATCATTAATTGGATAATTATTGTAATTATAGACCTTAGATGTGGCGATAACACTCAACAATCAATTAATTATAACTGGAATTTATAATTTAATTTAAAAATTACAAGTCTTATAAAAATCCTTAATTTACACAATTTGTTGTTTTACTTTAAAAACATAATTTGATAATAAAATTATAAATATTTTGATCGGATATTACATTGAATACAAACTTGTGCAGCTTTTAATTAAAACAAATTAAAAATTATATTTTTATCTAATAAGTTAATCAACAACTTTTAGGGTAATAAAATTAATTGAATTAAAAACACTATAGCTAAAGCATTTAATAAGTTCAATATTTCGTATTAATTCATAATAAATAACTTCAGATTTTAAAGTCTCTATAAGGCGTTGATTTACTGCATTGTAACACGTATTCATTGACTTTTGTATGACCCAGTGATATAACCAGGGTCAGAACAAAATAATTATAATTAATACGAATTAAGAAATTATTATAACAAAATTAGGATTATCCCTATTGTATAAATGCCCACTTATTGGGAAAACATGAGTAATTTTAAACATCATTATTTTTATGATATTAAAAGTTTTGTGAATACATGTTATAGACGTCATATTATAATTGACGTCCCTAATTAATTCAATAAGACATTTATATACTGTATTACCTAATATATAAGTTAATTAATCTAATAACTATCAAAAGTGGATTTAAAGTGATTTATTTTAAAAAATACTTAACAGTTAATATAAAACAAATAAATGATAAATAGAAATCAAATGTATTTAATCATAATGATTTGCGTAATTATTATAGGTAGGTTAAAAATATATATATCGTGAGTAAATTTATATTAAGCATTTTAATAATTAATTAATTAAAACTTTAATAATATAATGTTTACAATTATATTTTTAAAATAAAATGTCTGCATATTAAATACACAGTATGTTAAATTTATAGTGTAGTTATAGCATTTTTTATTGTAACACTGTATCTTAATTAACTCATATCGAAATTAAAATATGTTTAATTAAATTTGTTTAATAAAATCTACTAGACTCTCCCCAGCTGAGTCTGACTGTCATAGCTTTCCTAAATGGATCAGGCTAATGCTCAATTATATTAAACAAAGGTCTAGTATGATTATGGCATAACAGGCTAATTAATAATATACAATTAGCAATACTACTTATTTAAAGTAAAAATAATGTAACCATGTGTTACCATGTCTAGCTAAACACAGAGCTAGGTCCATTAGTAATTATTTCTGGCGCATACTATATGATTTTTTTTCTAACTGATCCGTGTTTTTAGTGCACGTGATCGCTGACAATATACTCGGGATCGATGAGTTCGAAAGGATGTTAACAAAGAAAGAGCCATTGGGTAAAGCAATGCCCGATGCGGCACCGGCACTCAAACTTTATTGCCTTAACGAGACATTTATTGTTACTAATAAAGGGTATTATTTTTGCCTACAATATCACCTGGATAATAATTTAAATTCCAAATTTAGCTTTAACGTTAAGTTCATAAGTACTGGCATACAATGGGTAAAATCGTTAATCGTAAGGAATCGCAATGAAAATGGTGACGCCTGCCGAAGTTGGTACGACACTTGAGGGCATTTGTAAACACCCTGAACCATTGAAATTAGCCAAACAACTCAATGCAAAACTTAGCCAAAGTCGGAAGATTCATAAACGCTTTATTAATTACCTTGCCCGGATTGCTGATCGTGTAGATAAAAATGCTACGCTATCTAATATATTATGGTAATTTTGAAGCAACGTAGACTTTAATAATTATAGTTTTGTTGACTAATGTAATCTTGGTGTTTCAAATAGTGCCTGTCAAAATGTTAATAATTTAATAACATATACTGCAATAAATATTTAATTGCATAAAGGAAAATATTTTTATTACTCAATAGATAAAGTAATTTATATTATTTGGCATTTGGAGATGTTCAGTAATGTTTATATAGTAATTTATATAGGGACTTTTTCTTAGATCAACAGTTAAATACACACTTCACTAATCTTATNAGGAAAATATTTTTATTACTCAATAGATAAAGTAATTTATATTATTTGGCATTTGGAGATGTTCAGTAATGTTTATATAGTAATTTATATAGGGACTTTTTCTTAGATCAACAGTTAAATACACACTTCACTAATCTTATAAAACACCAGGGATCTTTATGTTTATTTTGAGTAGGTTTAATTTTATAATATATAAAAATATCGCTCAAAGTATACTCTTGATTTCATTTAATTTGATCTATTAATCTACTTGAAAATATTAAACTAATCAAGTAGATTAATGTACTTAAATTTATAATTAACAGTGAAGAACTTACAAATAATTGTTTTACTTAATTTAATAATGTAATATTAAATAAATATATTATATAATATTTATTGTAATAAGCTAATTACTTAAAATATGCAATGCAAATTATATAAGTAAATTAATTACGGATTTCAATTGAATAATTTCACGTTTATTATGTATTGCAATATATAATTTCATTAAATATGATTTTGATATTTTCATTTAACTATTGTCTCTAGTATGATATTTTATAAATAACCTTATAAAGTCTTTGTTTGAAATTAAATAATCATATATTATTAAGTATCATAAGATAAACCATATTATGTAATATGCAATATAATAATAATCGGCAAACATATGACATTTAATTAGTCAGATAGTGGTAGTTTTATTATAATTATCAAATTATTTAATAATTTGATTTGAAATTATAGTATTTAACAACGTTAACTTATCGTAAGCTTTCATATAACTAACAAACTACACTGCTAATAACACGTTGAACCATTAATATTTTTATATAGCCATCATAAAGTACATTGTTAAAAATAATAAAGTAGTTAATTTAAAATGTTTTGGAAAAGCTTTCTAAAATTTATTATAATAACTGTAAGTCTATTAGTATTAATAGCAGTATTTATTAATATATACAACGGACGCATACCTCCCTCGGGCCCTGACATATGCCTCACAGACGAGTGCAATGCCGCGGCACTGGCTTTAAAAGCAAATCTTAACGAATCAGTCGACCCGTGCGACGACTTCTACTCCTACGCATGTGGGGGTTGGGAGGCCTCGCATACCATACCTGACGATAGGCTTAATGTCAACAACTATAACATACTCGACGACAATATATCGGAGTTTTTTAGGGAATCGTTGACTCAAACGCCGTTTAAGAGCGATTCAAATGCCGTCACCTATGCCTCGGACTTCTTCAAGGCATGTATTGATGAAGGTTTGGATCATTTTTTATAGATTATATTTATATAGATATATTTGTTCATATAATTGCTTGTTCATTTATCAAAATCTTTACTTAACCTCTGTTTTAATATAATAGTATTACTACTAATCTGTTCTTTGCACTCATTTATAAACTTAATTTATATATTTTTATTAATAAATTATAAATTAATTCATTTATAATTATATCTGTTGAGTATAATATGTAAGCATTACTTATATTACTAAATGTGATTATTACAATGGCTATTATTTATATAGAAACACGTGATGCCCGTGGTATGACCACGGTCATTGAGGCACTGGATTCATCAGGGGGTTGGCCTATACTTGGCCGATGGGGTGCCAATCGTGACAAACAATTTGAGTGGAAAGACTCATTAGTAAAATATTTTACTAAGTATGATTCATCATCGATATTTTCGTTGAATATTTTACCCGATTATAACGATACTCGGTACAATCGATTTTACGTATGTATTTACTATATCACAAAGTTAAAAATTTTATTTATTAATAATTTTATTAATTAGTAATTGTAATAATTTAGTTTATGAAACCAGAACTTGGCTTACACACTTCAAATTTGTTAAATTATAAGTTATTACCCAATTTAATGGCACACTACAAAAATTTTATAATAAGATCGGCAATTTTATTGGGCGGCACATATAATAACCAATTATTAACAGATGTCGATGATATAGTGACTTTCGAAATACTACTAGCTCACGTAAGTAAATTATTATCATAAGCTATAAATATAAATATATTAGGAACATAATTGTACTTAATAGTTTAATAATTGTTATTTTTATTTTTAAATATACATACATGTTATAATAATTAATTGTTGTCTAATATTATATTTTTAAAAATGTAGCTAATTAATCCGAGTTCATTTTTCATTCGAATGACCTATGCCGATTTCAATCATTATACTAACTATGCGGTCGATTGGGTGAATATAACCAACAGTTTTTTCGCCAAAATGAATGACACAATCCGTATGAAAAGCTATGATTTGGTTATCATTCAAGACATCAACTACTATAGGGCTGTCCTAAAACTCTTGACAATAACTCCGAACCGAGTTATAGCTAACTATTTCGGGTTTAGACTAGTCGTGAATATGGGTCCACACGCGCACAGCCTGTTCAGGGAATCGGTTTTTTTATTTAATAAAGTATTAACTAATGTGGACATGGATGTCGATTTGTGGAGAACCTGTATGGACACGGTTTCTACATACCTTCCCTACGCTTTGAGCCGTTTATACGTTGAAAATCATTTAACACGTAATGATAGACAAGAGGTTTGTAATAAATGCTAAGTTTATAAATTATAATTCGGGTAAACTAGTTAACAAGCACCATCGGATTAATCTATAAATTAATTAAATCATCTAGGCCATGAATTATGTACGTGATGTCAAGCAAGCTTACTATGAGTTGATTGTGGGGAACGACTGGTTAGACCCAATCACCAAAAATAAAGCTTTATTGAAATTAAATGCTACCAGGGTAAATGTCGGCTATCCGGATTGGGTGCTCAACGCTAATAGCCTCGATAATTATTACCAATTGGTATATATAATCTAAAATAAAATTGTATTTATTTACTAATCACAAATCTTAAATAGAAACATACCCTAAATCCTGGCAAGTGGTTCGAGTCGTTAGTTTATTTACGAACCAATAATTTGTTGCGAAAATTGCGATCAATAAAACAAAGTCCAAACATTACAAACGAGTATGTACAAGTTTATTAATAATAAAAATGTTTGTTTTATTTAATTTTATATTCTTATCACAGTTGGCCTGGGTCGCTGATCAGTGTAAACGCGTATCACCAGTTAATACATAATGCTATAAGTAAATATAATTTTTAATTACAGTTTTAATAACTATCCTATAATATTTATTTAAATTTAATCAAGCAATTTCCGCTGCAATTCTTAAACAACCAGTATTTTATAAAGATGGACATGTTGCAATCAACTATGGAGCCATTACCATGGTACTGAATTATTATTAATTTAATTATAAAATTAACATAATTTTAAACATTATTTATTATAATTGTAATTGAAAGGTCATGGGACATGAATTTACACATGGATTCGATAATACTGGTTATTATTGATAAAGCTAAATTCTATTCAAAAATAATAATATAACAATGTCATCTAGGTATTTTATTCGATTTGAACGGTAATTTGAAAAATTGGTTTGAAAATGAAACAAGGTTAACTTATGACAAAAAAGCAAATTGTTTCGTAAAAGAATACTCCAGTGAATACATACCTGAAATTGATATGCATGTAAGTTAAAATATAATATGTGGGTGGGTGGGGGAATAAATGCTATTTATAATTATGGTGTAAACCTGGTTACATTTATTTGAATGATTAGTTAAACGGAAACAAGACTTTGGGTGAGGATATTGCTGACAATGGAGGGCTACGGGAGTCGTACCGCGCGTTTCAAACACACGTCCAGACATACGGAGAACCGCCACGACTGCCACACGTCTCACAATATTCACCGCAACAGCTATTTTTCCTATCGTTCGCGTCCGTACGTAGTGAACGACCCCTTTATAAGTATCATAGTAAATTTAACCTTGTTGATTTGATTTTTTAGGTTAGGTGCAATTTGATAAAACAAAATTACATTGAAACTCAAATAATAAATGATTCGCACAGTCCCAATAAATACAGGGTTAATGTACCAGTGTCAAATTTTGTTGAATTTTCAAATGCTTTTAAGTGTGGACCGGAGTCGCCGATGAATAGGAAAGATAAATGTATTTTATGGTGATTTAGCTTGGTAGTTTAATATTATTTATATAATTTAAATGATTTAATCTCAATATATTATGCTAGTGTTTATGATTTTTTAAATTTCTAGTTAATTTATGTATTTAAATTATAGGAAATTATTTCAAATTATTAGATTTCTAATATATACATACTTGTTTATTATTATATTGAAATGCATCTATAATATAATAATATTATTAAATTAATAATGTAAAAGGTATAATTTAAAAAATAAATTATTTATATTAATTCTTATCACAATTTAATAAAAATCCTTGTCATGATACATGTAAACAAATTAAAATTACTTTATTAAAACAATTACTATTTGTAACGTACATTTAATTCAAAATTATTTACCAAAATAAATATTATGGTTTTTATTTTAAATAAAAATTTTAGATTAATTATACAATATTTTGCTTTATAAATGCAAAATGAATATTAAAAATAATAAAATCATTTTGTTATATTATAAAATAACATGGAATGACCGAAGTTAACAAAAATGGTATTATTTAATTATAAAGTAAACTCAAATTTATCAAATGTGATCGTTAAATTTTTAGATGTTGTTGAGTATTTATGATATAAATAAATTTATAAATCTAAAAGTGTTAAGCATAGTTAGAGCTGCCAATTATTTGAATGGTCTGGTTAGACAAATAGTCAAAATTGAACCTGGCCAGGAGGACATTGGGAGGACAACAATTATAAATTTGTTTAATTATTAATATAATTATATATATAACCCAAATAGCTACATAATAATTTAAGACTAATTACAATTCCAATCTAATAGACTACTTGTTGACCTCCTAATAATTGTTTAATAAATTGTTTAATGAATGACTACAAACTCACAAGTTTTTGACAAACATATCGATTAGCATTCAATAAAGTTAATGGTGTTTTGTAATTTAAAACATTTGTGTCCATTAGAGATGTGGACCTGTACAAGCAACTCCATATGTTATTATGTAATATATGTTATTATTAATAATCCCATTTATTATTATACAGGTATATGTAATACAATGTTAGCATCACAACTGATATAAACATTAACATACAGAATCATTAGTAAATATCATTAAATCTAATACTGTATTAGCCAATGTTATACAGTACTGTATAAACGAAAAAATAATTTTTATAACTTTTATTATATTATATATACAGTATGAGTAATTTGTAAACACTGTTGTCGAGAGAGATTAACATTTTCAAGTTACATTTTTGTGAGTTAAAAATATAGTCAAAAAAATTCAAATTCCATCTAGTACATTGGAAATGAAGGTTTGTAACTTTAACACTATACAATAATTATTTATTTGCACTGTTTAAATAATTAAATTTCAAATACACGTATATTGGAATTAATTGAGTATATCTTTTGATAATATTTATAAATAATAATTAAATCATATTTTATAGGTACATATTTGATGAGCATTTAGTTACACTTTAATTCCCACTTTCTTTATATTTCCAAGGGAAATAAGTCTATTTAACTTATCTATCAAATAAGTCTTAATTAAAACTTTTACTTTTATTTAGTAATTGTTAGCATTAAGAGAATTTTCTTAAGAACACGGATTTCCAAAGTCTGTATACTATTGAGCAATAGATTAAGTCTGGGAATCCTATCCTAAAGTTAATAATCAATTTGTATTACAAGCAAATAATTTAATTGCTTTGTCTCACAGTTGGTCACTAAATAATAGGCTTTGCTAACAAAACACATGGCATTCAATCTCTTACTAATCGATCTCTTAATTATTGAAAATCATTGTTATTTTTTTTATAAGTTATAACTATAGTTATAATAATAAGTCTTATAATCTCAACCTAGCTAATTCATTCAATATTACCTGTATATTTTGAAAAGTGAGAGTGCAAACTATTTCCTAAACAACTTCTTAATTATTAATAATGTTTTTATTGCTTTTTATTGCTTAATAGTTTAATCATTAATTGCTTAAGTAATCTGTTGTCTGATATATGATCCCCCAATGGCCCGACATTTACAACACTAGTTCACTATTGATCCGTAGTTTTAGACATAATACTAAATTATTTACTACTATAATATATTATAGTAATTTTAGGCATCTGTTTATATAATTCAGTTAATAGTTATATTGAATATTTAACTTATATTTTATGAATTCTTTGCCCGACTTTCATAATTAAGTTATGATTAGACAGATGTTTATAACGTTTTGTTTGAGACAATTGTGTTTCAATTTATATTTATGATGAAAATACTCAAAAATTGCGGACATTTAAAAACAAAAATGTATTAAAAACAAAATTGAATACTTTTTATAACCATTTACCGTATCCCTTTAAATAAAACAACCCCTTCAACAATATTAAATATTGATTTATTATAAAACAAATTAAATATTTCTATTATAACACATAAATAAAAAGGCAATCATAAAGTCCTGAATATTTTATATAAGATTTAAGTAATAGTTACGGGCAAAAATTCATAATAAATTTTGGGAATATAGCCCAAATTGGAAATCCAGTATATAAATGAATTTAATTTATTATTTTCATCATAATATATTTATTCTTTTATAATAAGAGCTTGCATATATAAATCAAATTAATTTTAATAAATTCTTTTATTGCATACGATAATCATATTCATAATAGAGTTTTTAGGGTATAATAAGAATTTATATAATGGTATGGCATTTTGAATGAATAAATTAATGTATGGATACATTCACAGAAAACAGAGACACAAATTGCGATAAAAAATGAGTGAAATAAGAGTTATAAAAGAAATGAGATATTGGACGGAGAGAGAGAGAGAGAGAGAGAGAGAGAGAGAGAGTTTTGTGTGTCCAATGAGATGACATGTCTATAAGCCATTAATTCTGGTGAATAGGGAGAGA